CAGCGCCGCCCCCCCCGACCCGAGCCCCCGTCTCCCGCCCTTCTCACGCTGGCCGCCGTGCTGCGGGACATCCAGGGCCCGGGCGCCCCCGCCTCCCGCGGCCCCGGCTGGGCCCGGCTCCCCGAGTGGGCTGCTGCTGTGGCGGCGGCGGTAGCTCGGTCTGACGCGGGCCGGGGGATGGTGCGGGATGCACGCGCGCGAGCCTGCTCCGCTCCCCGGAGGATTCCGTTCCGGGGGCGGGGGAACATCCCTGCTGCCTGTGCTCCCCGCCCCAGCCCCGCCCATTGGCCCTCCGCCTGCTGTATATGCAGAACAACCCCGCCTCGTTCCGGCGACTCCAGGGCCCAAGCCCCGCCCCCGTCACCCGGCCACGCCCACATGCAGACATGACTCCGCCCTCTCCGGTGCGGCCACCGCCCCGCCACGCCCATTGGTCAGTCACTGGCTGAGCATGCACAGGAGCTTCGCAGGAGTCCTACACCCAGGTCCATTCAGGCGTGGGCTTCCTTCCCCTCCATGACCCCTGACCTCAGGTCCCTTCCAGTTCCGCATCCAAAAGCGTTGCTTCGGAGGCGCCTAGCCGCCCCACATCCTCAGACCTTCCCGTTAACCCCACGGTTCTCCCAGCCCGGCGGGGGGCGGGCAGAAACGGTGACGAGGCACTTTTGGCAAGGAAGAGGAAGGGGAATGAACAGACCCCGGCGTCCTGGTGGGCGATCGATTGGCTTTGGGGGCGGGGGCGCCGGGCTGGGACCAGGGCGCGGTTCTGGCCGCCGCTTCCCCCACCCTGTCCTGTGGGTTTGGCAAAGCAGCTGGCAGGGGCATTAGGGCCCATTAGCAAAGGGAAGACCGAAAAGGCTAGGAGGCCGAAAGGCGGGGTGTGTTTGTCGGGGGGGTGGGGGGCTTCTCAGCTGCCACAGCCTTTCAAGCAGGTGGTCAGCACGTGGGGGTGCGGGAGGAGGAAAGGGAGAAGGAGGTTCCCGGCAACAGATGGCTCAGGCAGGGTGGGGGCTTTCAGACAAGGGGGGGCTGGCCATCTGCACCTGGAGGCTGCTGCGAACCCCTCTCCCCGCCCCCAGCGCAGAAAAAAGAGCTGGGGGAAGGGGAGGACCACTTTTATTCGGACTGAAGGTTGGACACCCCCACCCTTCCAACACACACAGAGGCTGGAACCCAGGAGAAGGCAGCTGGTGGAGAAGTGAGGGAGGCAAAGGTGAAGGCTGCCTCCACCAACTATCACCTCTCCCCTTTCACCGGAGACCTGAGGCAGAAGTGAAGGGCTCCCCCTCGGGATGAGTCTGGATCTCCATGAGGGCATGCAGTGAGGCGGAGGGCTCCCACAAATGTTGGCAGAAATAAGTTAACTGACTCCCTAGCTCAGAGTTCCTGGATGCCCACTTTGGAGTGGGGAGGAGTGGGATACAGGGTGTGAAGTTGGCATTCCCCAGCCCCAGAGTTCCTGAGCTCCTGAGCCAAGGAGGGGAGCTGGGCAAGACTGAGAAGCCTAAGGGGGCTCCCCAGACCTGGAGCAGAGGGGGAAGGGAGAGGAGGTGCCATAGCAGAAAATGGTCTGTACTAGGGCAGGAATCCCCAGATGGAGGCTGTCACGAGGGGTCTGCCTGGAGGTCCCCTCTGGTCAGGAGGCTTCTGGCAGTGGCTGCGCCTGGCGACTGGCCCAGTAATGGTGGTAGGTATCCTGGAAGAGGTCCCGGCAGGCGATGTGGGCGCGGAGGCGGGTGCAGGCCAGGAAAGCCCCTGCCAGCTTGCGGTGCAGGGCATAGGTCTCCTCGGGTGGTGGGCGCAGCCGGTGCTGCAGCAGCACCGGGATGAGGCCCTGTATACGGTGGGCAGTATCCCCTGCCCCAAAGTCATAGAGGCCCTGGGTGGCAAATGGCTCACCCAGGATCATCACTGCCTCCACGTGGGCATCAGAGAATGCCTAGGGGTGGGGACAGCAGATGCACTCAGTATGGACATCGAGCCCCCACCCCACTTCACCCAGGAGAGACAAGCAACCCTCAGCACCCTCCAGAGTCTCAAGTATAAACTCAAGCCCCCAACAATAAGCAGTCTCCACTCCTTCCAGAGCCTCTAGAAGACAAGCAGCCTCCTATTTCCCTCCAAATAAGTAGCCCCTCACTTCCTCTCAGAGCCTCCTACTAACAAGTTGCCCTATATTCTCTCTAGAACAGATAAGGAGACTCCTTTCCCCTAACCCCCATTACCCACTGGCAGCCTCCGCCCCCTCTGGAATAGTTAAATGGCCCCATTTCCACAGGGTTACTGAGTAGTCAAGTTGCCTGCATCCCCCCACTCCTCCTCAGAGCCCCCCAGTATAGATAAGCATCCCTCCTGGAGTTCCCCGCACCCCCAATATAGGCATACAGCATCCACTCTCCTCAGCAGAGACAAGCCCCATCCTCGCACTCCTCCAGACTCCCTCAGTAGAGATAAGCAGCTCCCCACTTACCCCCACCCAATAGGCACCAGCCCTCTAATCTCCCAGTGTCTCCCAACCTTGGTTTCAAAGCCTGTGAGGAATTTGAGGTCTCGGGATTTCTCCAGGACCCGGTCTCTGTCTCTATCAGATGCAGCCTTCACCACCTGGGGAGATGGATGTGGGGCAGGGGGAGAAAAGACGAGCAGGGTTCAAGGGGGGCTTCTGCAGAAAAGGAGCTAGAAGGTAGCTAGAAGCCTGGCCCTTTCCCCTATCCACCTCTATTCTCATCTACTTTGGCCTTCCCTGTCACCTGGAAACTTCTTCCCCATTCTGTCCCTGTCTGTGACTACCTCAAGACTGTTCCAGAGCCTGGGGGATGGAGGTAGTCAGGGGCTCTGCCCTCCTGGCTGGGAATGCACAGCCTGACTAGTATCTACCAAGTGAAATGGCACAGAGGAAAGTAAATGTCAAGGCTGCACATGGATCCAAACACTTAACTGGACAAGGACATGACCGCAACCAAAACTGCATCCCAGGTTGCCAGGGGGCCATCTCTATGTCTCCTGCACTGGACTTTGAGCCCCATGACAGCAGAGGTCCCAGTTAGGTTTAGTCACATGTGGCACAGGGTCTGGCACTTAGGAGGCCCTTGGTGAACCTTGGTTTAGCAAATTAGCTAGCACCTCTCCAGCCATAAGCTCACACAGGGAGGGCAGGAGTTATGGGCACGGACAGGTACTGGGCTGGAGGCAGCCTGCTTGGGCTCAATCCCAGTGCTGCCACTTGCTAGCTGAGAGAGACTCTGGGCAGATTGCTTTGCCTCCTGGGCTTCTACTTTCTCATCTGTGAAATGGGGATGATTGAAGTATGTTCCTCATGGGTTTGTTGTGAGGATTAAAAAGGCAATCCCTGTGGAGTGCCTAGTACTGTGCCTACATTAGGACACACCATAGACATTCTGATCTACTATTATTATTAAGAGGTGGATATGAGGGTCCCTATTTCACAGAAGAGAAAACAAGCTCAGAGTGGGGAGTGGAACCTGGGTCAAACCCTTAGCCCCTGTGTCATCCTTTCTTGTGAAGAGGGGGAATACAGGATTAATCTGGCAGTTCTGTTCTGTCTTAGCTGCCCCTGCCTGAGCCTGTCTGGCCATCTGTCAGGCCCATGGTCCTCAGGGGCTGGTGTGACAGGGCTTTTTGAAACTGGAAAAGGCTGGGAGGGTCTTGTTAGGCAGGCCTGGGGGGATGGGAGTTTCGGTGGGGAGCAGGATGTCCCAACTACCCAGAGAGGCCTCAGCTTTGTGCCTCAAGTGGCCTACAAAGGGGTCGGGGGGGGAGAGCAGGGGGATAGTTACCAGGTCTTCTTTCCTGTCTCCATCTTAGGGGTGGCCCCACCAGTCCCCAGACCAGAGCCTTGGGCCTTGCCCTGGATACCTCCCTCCCCGACTTCAAGCCTGTTGCTCCCATGGATTGTCCACCAGGCATCTCTCCCAACTGCCCCCTCTGCCTCTCTCCACAGCCTCACTGGGTTCTCAGCCCCCACCCTCAGTCTTAGAGACCACTTGTTATTCAGAGGGAGTTTTAATTCTGATTATACCCCTCCCCTGCTCAAATCCTTTCCATGGCTCCCCAGGGCATCAGTGTAAAGTAAAAGCTGTGAAGAACCGAAGAACCGCCTCTCCGACCCAGAGTGGTTTGCATAGAGTCTCTGATCACTGGCTCCTGCTCCAGCCCCCACCTGCCCTCCCAGTCACACATGAACTTCTTTTTCATTTTACAGGGACTTACTACTCAAAGTGCGATCCCTGTTAGGTAGCACTGGCATTATTTGGGAGTGTGTTAGAAACGCATCTTCCACCTAACTCCAGACCAGAATCTGCACCTTAACAGGATCACTGGGGAGTCACATGGACGTTGAAGTCTGAGAAGCACTGCTGTACTGGGAATATCCCTTGTTGCCTCTTGGCCTTTGCAGATGCTGTCTATCTAGAATACTCTCCTAGTCTTTTCCTGATCGGTCCTCCTCATCCCTCAGTTCTCAACTCTGATACCTCCTCCTCCAGGAAACCCTCCCTGACTCCCCAGGCTGGGCCACACTCCTCCTCTGGGCTCACACAGTCCCCTGTGCTTCTCCCATTCCAGCCCTGACCACTCTGGGTCTTCACTGTCTGTCCCCAATGGACTATGAGCTCTGTGAAGGAGGGACCTGGGTTACTGTTGTGTCACTCTGTGCCCAGAGGAGGTGTCAGAGAATTTTGAATTGATGGCTAAATGATTAGAAGATCAAGGTCGAATTTCCAAACTCAACAAATTAATGAGATGATGTTCTCTGCAGCCAATGGGTGGGAGGGGTAGGTACAGAGAAGGTGAAGAAGCACTTCATGAGGATAAGCTGCCCAGGCTAGACACCAAGACCCTGGATGGGTGGGGTCTGGGGAAGTGACAAGATGGCCATTGTGGCCCTTTCTCTTAGGAGGGGGCTAGGCAGGAGTTGGGAGCACAAGCTCTGGACCCAGACTACCTGAGTTTGAATCCTAGGTCTGCTGTGATCTTGGGCAAGTGGCTTAACCTCTCTAAGCCCCAGTCACTTCATCTGTAAAATGGGGCTAAAAATGGGGACTGGCCCATTAGCTCAGTTGGTTAGAGCATGGTGCTGATAACACCAAGGTCCAAGGGCACTGTACTGGCCAGCAGCCAAAAGTAAACAACAACAAAAAATGGGGTAGGCTGGCCAGTTAGCTCAGTTGGTTAGAGTGTGGCTTTGTAACTCCAAGGTCAAGGGCTTGGTTCCTCATGCTGGCCAGCTGCCAAAAAAAAAAAAAAGTGGGGGCAGGGAGCCTAAAAATGGTTACTGAAGGGTTTAAATCAGTTAGTATACGTAAAGCTCTTAAAACAGTGCCTGACATAATATTAAGTGCTTGGTATTTGTTATCTGCTATTAATATTACTATTATTTATTATTCTTAATTCCAGATACTATATTTCTCCTTTTTACCCCTCTGCCTCAGTAACTGGCTTGAGCTTCAGCCCTTCAGAGGCCTCAGGGTCAGGGGGACTCACCTCGATGTAATGGTCTGTGAACTCTGTCCCAAATTCCCGGCTTGCACCAAAGTCCAGCAGAGTCACCTGGGAATGAGGAATGGGGAAAGGGATGCTGGGAGCCCATCAACACCCCCAGTTGTCTATCCGGGCAGCCAGGACCCATCTCTCCATCCCCATGACCCTCCCTGCTCCTGTCAGAGTCCCTGCCAGGCTGCTTCCCGGGGCTCCTGGCCTCCAGTCTCCACACTTCCAATCCACCCCCATGTGTTGGCTGAAGGGATCTGGCTTTTAATTTTACTTTTGGTCCTAATTGTTTATATAATAACAATTTTTAGGTACAGGAAAAAAAAAATCCAGGATCTAGTCTGAGCCCTTCGCTGAGCATCACGTGACAGTGTTACCAATGCAGGTGTAACCTGCCCTGCTCCTACCTCCCCCACATCCCCAGGGTCTTTTCTAGGCTCAACACTTTCCTTAAATTATTATTATTGTTAACTTATTTCCTGAAATTTCCATGCGTGTTTCTACATAGGCATATGCGTGCACCCGTAAACCTTAGTAATGGTTTGCATATTTTAAAACTTCACATAAATGGGATTTACTACAGTTATCCTGTAACTTGTGCTTTTTGCCCAACATGGTTTTGTGGTTTATCTCCATTGCTGTGTATAGCTCTAGCTCATTCATTTTTCATTGCTGTATAAGGACTGCACAATGAATATATCACAATGCATTTATCTGCTTGATGAACATTGCAGTTGTTTCTGGTTTTTGTGCTCAGTGAACACATGTGTAAGAGTTTCCCTAGGGCAGTGGAGTTCAAACAACCAAACACAACCCACAGTAAGGAATACCGTTCGGGCTGGCTGGTTAGCTCAGTTGGTTAGAGAGCGGTGTTGCAACACCAAGGTCAAGCAAGGGTTTGGATCCTCATACCAGTCAGCCACCAAAAAAATAAAAAAGAAAGAAAGAAAAGAAATACAGTTTATACTGAGTGCCAGTGCAAATGCACAGGTAAGTATAAACATCAAAGAAGAGTATCCCAAAATAAAATGAATCCCTCCCATCTGTGATACTTTGATAGTTTCTATTCTATTCCATTAAAACAAAAAACGCTATTGGAACACTATAAATCGATGGTAGGACGCATATCACCTCCCAGAGTTAGAAAAACACCTCCCTGGGGTATAAGCCTAGGAAGGGACGGACTTGGAGAGTATACGCATGCTGGGGGAAGTGGGGTGACAAGACGCAGTGGGGCCACATGATGCTCGGCGAAGGGCTCAGACGGGATCCCGAGGATGCTGGGGAGCTGCAGAAGGGATATCTTCGTCAGATTTGTGTTTGAGAAAGATCCCTCTGGGGACAAAATGGGGACCAACCACTTTGGAGAGCTACATGGCAACTTCTGGTAAAGGGGAAGATATGGCCACACATACTCAAAGTACGCAGCTCCAAACTCTCACCTCCAGGCCTTTGTATACCCTGCGCTCTCTGCCCAGAACTTGCCACCCTGCAATCTGGACGGCTGTCTCCTTTTCCTCTTTCTGGTCTCAGCTTTAATGGCATTTCCTTCAAGAAGTCTTCCTTGATCCTCACCCACCCCAGGTTGGGTCAGACACTTTCCCTGGGATCCCACAGCCCTCTGTGTTTCCCTAATCCCAGGCCCCATGCTCTGCCTGTGCCTTCCCATCCCACCCTGACCCCTCTGCCTGTGCCTCCCCATCCCATCCCTGCCCCCTCTGCCTCTGCCTCCCCATCCCATCCCGGACCCCTCTGCCTGGGCCTCCCCATCCCGGCCCTGACCCCTCTGCTTGTGCCTCCCCATCCCATCCCGGACCCCTCTGCCTGGGCCTCCCCATCCCGGCCCTGACCCCTCTGCTTGTGCCTCCCCATCCCATCCCGGACCCCTCTGCCTGGGCCTCCCCATCCCGGCCCTGACCCCTCTGCTTGTGCCTCCCCATCCCACCCTGACCCCTCTGCCTGTGCCTCCCCATCCCACCCTGACCCCTCTGCCTGTACCTCCCCATCCTATCCAGGATCCTTCTGCCTGGGCCTCTTCATCCAGGTCCTGACCCCTCTGGCCTATGCTTCCTCATCATGGTACTAACTACTCTAGGTCATCACTGCCTGGTGACAGGTCCCCCTCTGGACTGGGAACTCTGAGAAGGCAGGGATCATGGAAGTCTTGTCACTGCTGTCAAGAGGCAGAGAATGGGTGTGTGGTATGTTCTAAATGGATGACAGATGTGTTAGTGATGGCTTACTGCCTTCCAAAAGTTGTACTTCCTCCTCTGTACCGTCACATTGCCACTAGGAAACCACTGCCTAGCCAGGGACTCCATTTTCCAGTGTCCCTTGCATTTAGACAGGCTGTGTGACTAGTTCTCATTGATGGAATAGTAAAGGAAATTATGTGTCTCTTCTGGCCAAAGCAGGTAGGCAGGCGGTTACCTTCTCAACCTCTCTTTCCCTTCCACTGGAAGCAGAGCATTGTAAGTCCCTAGGGGATGCATGACCACTTATGTGTCTCTTCTGGCCAAAGCAGGTAGGCAGGCGGTTACCTTCTCAACCTCTCTTTCCCCTTCCACTGGAAGCAGAGCATTGTAAGTCCCTAGGGGATGCATGACCACAGAAACGAAGAAGCTTGGGTCCCTGAGTCACCACATGGAGAAGGGCCACCCCAGGCTGTTGTGTAGGTAATAAACTATTATGATGTTGAGCTACTGAAATATCAGGGAATATCTGTGAGAGCAGTTAGTGTACTCTGACACACATCACAAGGAACCAACCTGGTGGCTGGAGACGTCATACAGGAAGTTGGCCCAGTTGGGGTCTGTCTGCATGAATCGGAACTCAAACAGCTCCCGCAGACACAGCCTCAGGAGCTGGAAGCAAATCTGGGATTGGGAGAAGGAGGAACAGACTTCTCAGTGTGATCTGCCCTGTAGAGCCCTCACTGGCCTGGAGAGGGAGCCCTGGCCAGAGCCTCCCCTACTGTCCCAAGAGACCATATACCTGGTTCCGGATGTCCTGGCTTAGGCCCTGGCACTGGTCAAGGGGGACCCCTCCAGCCAGCTCCATACCCAGGACCCGTGTCGTACACAGCTCCTTAACCACGGCTGGCACCCGGAAGAAGGGATCATCTGCCAGCAGCTGCCTGGAGCAGGAAGGAGGGGAAGGAATAGGACTTTATGCTTCAGGCCTGTTGACCTAAAAGAATCTGTGGCTGAACATATAAAGCATAGGATTTATTAAGCCAATATAACGACTGTAACTGGGAAACACATAGGTCATGTCACCCTGGAAAATGCACTCCGAAGAGGGCCAGCATTTTATCATCACAAGAGGAGGGGGAATCAAAGGAGAAAGAGGGGGGATAGTCCTTTTCTAATCACATCATCAGTTTTTCTATTGGTTGTACAGGACGCATAGATTTGGGATCATTACTAGGTTACATAAGAGTTACAAGAAGTGTTCTAGGTTATCTTATGACTTTACAGTGCCATCATATCTGCCCCTAAGTAAAGTGGTCTTATGATAACATTTTCCAGGACAGGTGGACGTGACTGCTGACTTATCCCAGATCTCTCAAGGTACTATACTTTAGCTGGCCTGGTCAGAGCAGATTATTTTGCTATCAGGCCCCTCTGATACAGCTCCAGGTCGCTCCTTCTCCTCTGAAAAGTCCTCCATGAATGGTCTGTCTCCCCTTCTCTCCTGTTCTTGTTTTGCCTCTGTCTGCCCTGGGTGATGGCCAAGACCTGGCTGGACTGACATTTAACAAATTTCTCCATAGCTCCTACTCTGTACACACCCCTAAACTGGGTGCTGCTGGAGACCCAGTTATCATTTCCATAACCAAAAACCTTCTATGATCTCTGGTTGCTCCAAGATGAGCTCAATGTTTTTAGCTTGTGTATTACTTTTTTCATCAATTTATTAGTTAATTCATCCCTGAAATAGTCACTGACATAAAAATCTATGAGTCTATAGTGATACTCATTGGTCACTCCTTGGAGTCACTGCTCTGAACATTGGTAAATAAAGAGAAAGAATTTCTCTCTGTGTTGGTCCCTATGCTGGACGATGCTGGGGGACACAGCAGCAAATGAGCCAGTCCCTGGGCCTGCCCCCCTCTCCACCCCCCAGAGACCACACTCTAACCAACAAACAGACCAGTTACAGATGGAGATAAGTGTGTCAATGCAAGATGTGAAGGCAAAGAATATGAATGAAGCCTCTGGATAAGGACTTGTGGGATGGCTGGAGGAGAGGGAGCACAGGGCAGGGAGACAGGCAGGGGAATGATGTGGGTTTTATTCTAAGGGTGTTGAGAAATCCTGTGGGAGCAGGGGCAGATCCCACGCAGGAGTGCTCTGGCCTACCATCCCACTTTGCACCCTCCTCCTCAAGGTCCTGCTTTGGGGCTTGTGTTTTTGTCCTTGTTTATAAAATCTCTGATGTTTGAACTGCTCTGCATGAACTGCTCCTCAGCCAGGCCCTGTGTTGAGCACTGAATCAGCACAATTCCCTTTTGTCCTCACTCCCCCATGAGGAGGATACTTTCCTGGGGCCACTGTACAGATTCAGGCCACACAGCCTGTTAAGGGCTGTCTGGGGATTTGATCCCACATCTGTCTGAGTCCAGGGCTCATGCCCCTAACCACTGCATTCTACTGCCTTTTCTCTCACTCTCTGTCTACAGAGCTTGGCATGTTGTAGACCCACTATAAATGTGTGGGCCACACTGTAGAGGATCCCATTAAGGTGTCATTAATTGTTGTACATCATGATGCTTCCAAGAAATAAGCACATTGTTCCATGTAGCTGTAGTTCATTCATTTCCACTGCTATATAATATTCCACTGATAAATACAACATCATTTATTTATTTGCCCTGCTGGATAAATTTGATAGATTTGGGTTATTTCTAGTTTGGTCTATTGCAAACAATGCTGCTCTGAGCATTCTACAATAGTCTGATGGTGTACACTGGCATTAGTGTCCCTAGAGAATTTAGCAAGAAGGGCACCTGTTGGGTTGTAGCATATGTGAATATAAAGCCTTCCTCGGGCCAGCCCGGTGGCGCACTGGAGAGTGCGCCGCTTGGGAGTGCAGCGGTGCTCCCGCCGAGGGTTCGGATCCCATGTGGAGACTGGTTCCCGCTCACTGGCTGAGTGCGGTGCGGGCGCAACACCGAGGGTTGCGATCCCGTTGCCAGTCCCCGGTACGGGCGTGACACCAAGGGTTGCAATCCCGTTACCGGTCAGTAAAAAAGACAAAAAAGGAAAAATAAAATAAAATAAAATAAAGCCTTCCTTGATGATGTCAAAATGTTCTCCAAAACGCTTATATCAATTCCTCCTCCTGCCCGCAGTGTACGAGGGATGCCCTGAGGGCCAACTCTGATGCTGTCACACTGCTTAATCTTTGTCATCCAAGTGGGGGTAACAGTGTCTCATTGTGTAATTAAGTGCCTGTGTCAGACCACAGTGGAAATGTGTTCCATCTAACAGAGAAGAAAACTGACACAGAGAGAAGCGGCCCACCCAAGCTCACAGAGGATGCAAGGGGATAAATGAAGCAATGAATGAGTGGATGGATGGATGGGTGAACAAATAAATGAAAGGGAGAAAAAGAGTTTGCCCTCCCCACCCCCAGGCCCTGGCCGCTGGAGGCTGGGGGGCTTCCCACTCAGAGGTCTGCGGGGGGCTCAGCTAACCTGAAGTTTTGAGCACAAGCTGCCTCTCGAAGGTAATCACACTCCCAAGCCAGCTCCTGTTGCAAGGCCTGCAGGCTCTGCTCGGCAAACAGTCCTGAAAGGGACAGCATGTCAGTCAGGGAAGGCCACGGCTTGTCCTTCCACCTGAGCCCTCAGGCTCCCACTCATGAATGTCTTCTCATGCCAGTCACGTCTGTCTGTCTGTCTGTCTGCCTCTGGCTGTCGCTCACACCTTCTGCTCCAGGCATTTTACCTGTATGTCTGTTCTCATGTTCCTACTGTCCTTCACAGAACCAGTCTGTTCTGAAGTCTCTCCTGGGGTCTGTCTCTTTCACACACATGCACCCCAGTCCCTAGACAGCTCTTTCATAGTCACACATGCCACCTCTCTCTCTGTCGCTTTTTTTTTTTCCTTTTTGTCTTTTTTCGTGACCGGCAACGGATCGCAACCCTCAGTGTCGCGCCCGTACCGGACTGGGACCGGCCACGGGATTGCAACCCTCGGTGTTGCTCCCGCACCTCGCTCAGCCAGTGAGCGGGAACCGGTCTGTATGTGGGATCCAAACCCTCGGGCGGGAGCGCCGCCGCGCTTCCCAAGCGGCGCACT